ACTCTCTGTGTCTGGAGTGCTTTTTCCCACATGAGATATCTGCAAGTCAATGACTGAACCAATAATCCAATCAGTGGTGAACAGGATCTCTCCAAAAAGACAACTCTTCCACCCCAAACCTGTCCCTCTTCTGATACGCCCCATTTGGTGAACTACTGTCTCCATCTACCTACCTCTGACTCTCCCGTGTCCTTCAAGGCCGACATTGACTCCACCAGCACATTCTGCTGATGTGCCCTCCCAATCTGTCCACTTTCGCCATCCCCACGGCCAGCAGCCTAACACAAGCCCTCGTGGTAACAGCCGGACCCCTGGACAATCCGCAGTGGTCAGGACTACTTGCCAGACTCACCACACCCCACACCCCAGGCCATGCTCCTGCGCCCTTGCCCTGCCCCTAGCCATCCTGCTGACCTTCTGCCTCTCTCCCAGCCCAACTCTCTCTCCTTTAGACTCTTCATACATGTTGTTCTTCCTTCTGCCTCTTCCCCACCCACCCCTTCTCCCATGCCTTCACCTGGCCAAGTCCATTCAATCCTGCAAACCTCATTTTTAATGTCATTTCCTCCTGGAGCCTACGATCCCCACCAACTTCTCGGTGGCAATCAGGTCTCCCTGGCCACACCCTCATGGGCCCTGTATTGCTGATGGCACCTGGCACGGGGTGTCCCACACAGGCAGGGCTATTGCTGGTCCTCAGCATGGAGCAGCCTCCTAGCACAGACCACGTCCCAGCCAACACTGGTGGGGCAGGGAACATACAACCCAGGTCAAACACCCCATCAAAACATCACATGTATTTAATAACACACAGCATGCTCACAAGCTACCTTTTGGTTTTGTTTTTTTTTTTATTAACTATGAGCAGTTTCCCCAAATTCTTCAGAAACAAAAGCAAAGGTTCCTCATGCCCTCTGAGCTTGCTTGAAAATACTTGGCGCAGACAGCAGAGAACCTCTCTGAAGTTCTACCATCGTGTATTATTCCACAAGAGTTTTCACTCTCTTCTAGCATTTAAGCAACAACAACAAGAAAAGTACACCAGCACAGTCTGGCAGGCTTTGTTCCTCGGCATTCAGTCTGCTTTCTTATCCCACACAACAAAATACACAAGACCAAGAAGCACTAGAAATCCACCCCAAGGTAAAATTCCACATCGACTTCAAAAGGAAACCCCCAAGATAAAATTGTAGGAACTTTTGAAGCCTTTTGCCGTTTTGCAAGATACATACTATACCAAAATACCACCATTTTGGGTACAGAATCTTTTTTTTGCTGGGTACAAAGGAAGCTAAATGAAAGTCTTTGTACAGCAAAGACACCGGGGGTGCTATCCAGGGAGCGGCTAACACCCCCCAGCTCACCGGCCAAGACTGACTCAAGCACCACCACTCAGCACAACTCAGACGCTTGGCACTCATTTTGTAAGAGGAAAAAAGGAGCAAAGAATTAAAAATATAAATTTCAAAACTCCACTGAGAAAGAAAAAGAGCTCATTGTGTGAATTAAAAAATGAGATTGGGAAGGCTGGGAGCAAGGGGGTGGGGGGAGGGAATCTTGGAACTCGTGGCTACTATCTCTGAGTTGTTCAGAAGCCACTGAATTTGTAGGGGGGGTTGGGGAGAAAATAAGAGAGAAGGCAGGCAGAGAGAGAGGCTGAGTCCTTGTCTAAATTCCCATTACTTGGCCAGTCGCTCAAAACATCATCCCTGAGGAATGATTCCCTCTCTCCTCTGAACACAGATTAGGAGCTACTTGTTTATAACAAACAAGATGTTGTACCAGCTGCAGGAACTAAAATTTACGGAGTTTATTTCCTAATTAAAATCTTATTTGATAACTTGAATTCCACTTGTTAAACATATTTAAGTCTACACATCCATTTTTTCTTAACATGGTAACCCACATACCACATGAAAAAAAAAATCCAATCAGATTAAAACAATTCAACAAAATGCTTTAAATTCCTAAATGAAGATTCTGCCTCAAATGGGTATTGTAGAAAGTTATTTTTTTTAAGCAATCTGTGATAGTGTTGTCCCTAATGATTACTAATAAACATGGAATACTTCTTTATTTTCAAAGTGAAACATTAAAAATAATTATGAAACAGCTTGGCCCTAAAGTTACAATAAATCCAAATTTCAGAGAAATTAGGAAGCAATCCTTAGACAATTATTTTGAAACATGTCTGATGAAACACTGATGTGACAACATTTTACTTAAAAGAATGAAAAACAAAGTGTGAGAAAGAGCCCCAACTGTCTGGAGAAAAGTTATAGTATCCTTCATTACAGAATCTAAACACAAACCAGACCCTCTGGCCAATGACAAACTGTACGAAGACCCGAATATGTATCAGCCAGGACTCAGAACGCTCCATTTATAAACACAGACAAAACTGTGCCTGCCAAGGTAGGGTCGGTTTGGGTTGACACCGCCCTCCGTTCAGTGAAAAGGTGATCATAAATTTGCAGTCCCAAGGTGCATGGATCCTCAATCCTAAACACTACAGATGACCAGACGGATGAAGAGGTCCACAGCCCCTCTTTCTTCAACCCTACTTCCCCATCTCCCTCTACTACCTCCCCCTGCCCAGAACATCCTCCTTCTCACCTGCTGGTGTCAGGTGAAGAACACAGAAATGTACAAAATTACAGGGCTGACTCATATGACCAAAGTCGCCATTCACGACAAGCAGCAAGCAATTCACAAATGTGGCTTCCTTTGGTCCAAGCGCATGACTTTTCTCTTCTTCCAGCTCCCAGAACCCACCTTCCTCCACCAGTCCATAACCTCTGGGCAGTGGCCATTCCCAGGTCCCCAAGCGCACAGCAGAAAGCACAAAAAGATCATATTACAGTTGCCAGCTGTGGCTCCACTGGACAAAGGTCTTCGTCTAAAAGGTGCTGTGTGTGCTCCGAAGTGGTTGCTATGGTAAACACGCCTGCTATTACACAGCAGAGGAAAAAGGAACCTAAGTCCCCTCGCCTCGCCAAAATCCACACAGGCTCTGGAAAAAATGTTTTGCCACCCTCCTCCAGATCGTTAATTTCTACACAAGAAAATGAGGTACTTAGGGCCCACACTGTGGCAAGTGTTCTTGTGGGCCATGGGGGTGGGCGGGTCGCTGCCTCTCGTCCACGTGGACATGCCTTCACCCTTGCGTGGGAGCAACCCTCGCTGGCACGGCGCCCGGACCCGACGCCACAAGCCCCAGGGGCTGCGTCCACCCGGAACCCCTCCTGGGAGGCACATCTTCTCTCCGCACTCGAAGAGAGAAAACGATTCAAAGAGATCGGAACATCCTTTCGCTGTAGCTTAAAAAAAAAAGTGGGAAATTCCCATCAGGCATTTCCAGAAGCAGAGAAATCAAATGCAAAGCCTGGACCCACACTGGGAAACTCAGGGAGGCAGGAAAGTGAAATGGACAGCTTCCTCGATTTACCCTCTAGGTCTCTAGAACTGTCACACTTTTAAAAAAACGCTTGTATGTTGTTAAGACTTTTTTTTTTTTTTTAACGTGCCATTCACTTTAGGAGAAACCTCCCTCAAAACCCCAAGCCAGCAAGCTCTTTACGCCTAGGCCACTGTCCCCAATGATGACCCGATTTATAGTAAGCAAAACAGAACCACCCAGGAGGGAATACACCACAAGGCCCGGGATGGGGAGCAGAGGACTGGATCCAGGCCTCACTCTGGCCACTACGCAGCGTGTGACACTGGGCAATTCACTTAAGGCATCTCTGGGCCTCAGTTTCCTTTTCTGAGAGCAGACTGGGCCGAGGTGACCTAAGGTCACTTCCGGCCCTGAAATCGTGACAATATAGGAGCATACATAATAATGAGCATCCATTTTACCGCAGGGTTAGAAAAAGGAGGAAGCTTCTAGCAAATGTCGGCCTTCTCTCTACGTGCTTAATTTATACCATGAGAAGACATTTTCACGAATGACTCAAAATGTGGCTTTACAGAAATAAATGATTTTGTGATATATACACACACATACAACAGAGGCACAACTCATTAAATAATATATACTCAACTACAGTAAGCTACAAAATAAGGAGGCAGTTGGCCCAAAATGACACGATGCATCTTAAGATTTTTCTACCTAAGAAAATTATTTTGCAATTTTTAGAAATTACAATGTAGAAGCAAAATATATTCATTGCTAACATTTTGTAATACTTAAATAAAAAATAATTGATTGTTTCATGCTTTACATAATTCTACTTGTTACAGATTCATTATAAAAATGTCTTTCATTAATTATTTCAAAAGTTTGAAGTCCAGCTCATGATATAAATATATAGAAGGGAATATCTAATCAGGCTGAGCTATCTTCTCAAGAGGTTAATTTATAAACTCTACTTTCAGAGCCTACAAAACCCTAAGAATGTACATTAATAATATACGTAGACACATACTTTATGTTGTAGTCTCTTAGTACTAAAAACATTGTTTTCTTTATCAAACCCATATGCTTTCAAAGCCATAGATAGCTATAGAGATTAAATTTAATTTTAGCCTTTCCATGTTCATTACTATTCTGGTTTTATAATCAGCCAGCCCAGGTGAAATTTTTCTAACGTTATTTTATGTGTTACTTTGCAAAGAGATTAGAAATTCCCAAATCCAGAACTCCTCTTCCGAGTTTTCTAATTTCCTCCTATCTTCACCTTCCCTAATTGTATTTTTGCAATTGCTTTGATACCACTAGTCTCCCCCAGACGATGGAGATCATGTCCTAGTAACTGCAGCCCACAAGGCTAGACTCAACACAGGGAGGGGTGATTCAGAAAACCTCCAGGTAGGTTACAATCGCTAAGGTCCGATAGCAGAAAGCGAGTACTTTATAGATACAAACCATATCCAAGAGTATTCCCAAAACAAATTTTTTAAGAAAGAAAAACTAACAAATGAGGCCTGTTATCACCAAGAAAATCTTCTTCATCACCCCCAATAAAGGAAGCAAGCGTCCCTGGGGAGGAACTTACGACAATGTGTGCTGGCGACGGCGACCGGGCATCCTTGAGGGCTTGTCTGCTCTGGAGGCTCCCTGCCTGGACATCAAGCAGTGGCCATTTCATCTGGAGATACTGGAGGGAGGAAACAAAAATGGAAATGGAAAATGGTGAATGCAGAAAAGAAATGTCAAACAGCCAGCCCAAGAAATAACTATAACATGGGTCAGAAACTGAAACACACCATAGCATGCAAACAACAGTAACAGCAACAAAAGATAAGGAAAGAAAGAAGCATGCAATACCAGTAGGCTCTTCCTTAGAACTCAAGTTCAATAGGTACATATATAGAACATTAATGTTAGCAACTACTTAAGGTACAATGATTTCATTGATACTCTACTACCTTATTCAGAGGGGGAAAGGAGGTGGGAGTAGAGGACAGAACACAGAACTATTGGAAGGAAGAAAGTAAACACAAATCTCAAGCCAGAAGTATCCTAGGAGACCATCAGTTCCAAACTTGCTCTTTCATGACCTTCATTTTTCAAATGCCATCATCCTTCATTAAAGAAAGCTGAGTACATATGTGCAACTGTCCTTTAGGTAGCAGAACCTACTTGAGTAAGGTGAGCACAGAATTCCTCATCCAACCCAAAAGCTTATACAACAAAAATACTTCCTGGAAGAATTCCAGGGCACAATGCAAGGTATACACTCATCTCAAAAGACCAGAGAAATTCTGAAATATGCACGTGATTACCACAGAGATAAAAAAAAAAAAAAAGAAGAAGTATAAGCCAATTATGTCTGACCCCACCTTTCTCGGAGGTAGGAAACGAACACGGGGCATTAGAGACCTACTTTAGCTTTCAGAGGGATTTGAACAATCAATGAGCCAACTCCCTGTTTTGCAGGTGGGGAACTGGGGTGAGGTGGCTTGCCCAGTCAGGGATGCTTAGCACAATGTACAAGCCACTCCCAGACACTTGACTTTTGTCGGTAACATTACAACAGTTTCACTCAGGAAAACTTCAGACAACCAAAGAAAACTTAGACACAATGCTCACAAGGACATCCATACCAGCCTCTGCATCTCCCAAGGCCAAGTGACTCATGTATCAGGTAAGGCCAAGTGATGAATGTATCAGCTGAAGTTTGGAGGATAAATAAAAGCCATCTTGATCACTGCAGAAACCCCAAGCAAAATAGATGGCTAGTTTAGAATATTAAATCTACAAAACACTTTACTCAACGAACACCAATTACAGCTTGCTTGTGCACAGGCTTCTTGCTAAGCACTAGAGAGATACAAAGGCATCTGCCTTCTGGGGGCTTCTGCAGGCATGAAGGCACCAACCCATGCACAGGTAAGTCGAGAGGATGCAGTGACAATGTGACAGAGACTGCAGGACTCGTGCCCAGGAAGTGCCAAGACAGAAGAGAGAATTTCTAAGAAGATTGCAGAAGGCTGCACAGAGTTAGGTCATATAAGTCAGAAAGATTTCAATAGAAAGAAAAAGGAACACAAAGGGCAGGCCAGAAAGAAGTTTGCACAAATCCCATGAGAGACAGAGGGGCCAAAGCCATCCACAAGCCAGTCCACAGGTCCCCCGAAGACACAACAAATTAAAACCAAACTCGGTTATGCCTGAAGCTGAAGATCCTAGCCCATGAGCTACCTGCCAAAGTGCACATCGATTTTCCACCCTAGATCCACACAAGGTAGGTGCATCTTTTACAACATCAGAGCTTTTTCCCTAGAAGCCTGTTGCGCGCAAGCTGGTTGCTAGCCTGACTCTGTCGGTAGCTCACCGCAAGACCTTGCATCGAACCCCCTTTGCTTCGATGGATTTCCAGTTTTTCATCTGTATGTCGAGGAGTTGTCCGATCTGTGATGGGGGAGGGGTCCTGCCCCAAATGCTGAAGGACTTCCAGGGTGCTAGGCCCGCAGACAGTAAATACCAACAGGCATCCTTACAAGCAAACCACTTCCAAATACCTTCTCTGGGGACGAAATCACCCCAAGGTCTCTCTCAGCCCTGTAACCTGAGCCAGAGGGCTTGGGAAATCCAGTCTGCCCTGTCTCACCCTGACTCCTTCCCATTCTCACTTGCCACATAAATATATGGGCTGCATTGGTCAAAACCACTCAATAGAGTCATTTCCTTGAGGTCAACCAGAATGGACACCCGCCAACGCTCACCTCGCTATCTCACAGAAACCCATGAACAAAAACACCAAGCCCAGTTGACATCGCCCTACACCCCCATGCTATGGGGGTGGGGGGGCGGGAGGGGTGAATTAGTGGATAAGTTTTCATCTTTGGCCATCTGCAAAACTGATTTGATTACGTCCAAATACCAAGCTCCACAGAAGTAGGAAATTTAGGCTTTGTCTAAGGTGACAGACCTGCCCTGAGGACCCCACCCAAGAACCATCATACCCGTGATGCAGTATGCATGTGGAGACTTATAATTCTTACTTTACATAAAAGCTTCATTGTGTGCCACATCCAATCTCCATGGGCTACCTGCACCACATATTTTTATGAGCCTACATTTCAGCGCTCTGAGCCTACAATACACATAATTTTCAATTATGTTAGAGCAGCCCAGGATCACTGCCTATATAACATTACTGGTTGGAGGAAATGAGACTCGGCCCCACTGCCCAGAGAGAGCTAACCGAATCCAGATGGCAGGCGAAGACGGCTCTGTTCCTGCTGACCTGCGGGGACTCCGCAGTGACAGCCCCGAACTCTCCTTCTCAACGCAACCTGATGCCACAGGACGGCTGGGCACCCACAAATCCAAGCCCGTCCCCCTTGAATCTTAACTGGCATTCAGGCTGATGAGGTGCCTTTTGGGGCAGTTAAGTATTATGTCGGGATTTTTTCTCTTTTTTTTCCCTCCACAAAGGCCAGAAGTAATATGGCAGGATTTTTTAAAGGAAGCTATTAACCTCCTCCAAAAGTGATGGGTTTCCCAGGTTCCTTCATCTTCTACAATTGGTCCTTATTAATACGTAAAATAAATAAATAAAAGTAAGAAAAAGGAAATTAGCTCTATTATAGCCTAGAGGAAAATCTTTTCCTTCCTGGAGACATTAAGCAGCAGGAAATTCTATTCTGTTGGGCCCTAAAGGAAGACCTGAAGTGGGAGGGGGTGGCATTTCAGACTTACAAAAGGGTTGGAACGCTGAGCCACGTTTTCCCAACAGTTCAACTTCAGTTTTATGTCCTTTTGGGGAAGAAAAAAGTTCCCACCATCCCGCTATAAAAACAACAGTGGGCTCTAGCTCTCTTCCTCTTAGGCTGTTCAACGTGGAAATTATGAATTGCCTACAAAAACATTAAGCTTTTCAACAAACTGCAATCAAATGGGGCTGTGGGAATTCCTGCATTGAAAACTGTTGGAATGGAGTCTGCTCAACTTTCTTTTCTTTTTTTAAAATAAATAAATAAATAAATAAATAAATAGAATAAGGCCATCTTGGCTTAAGCATTTCATCCTTTGTTGAATAATAATGTTCTGATCATGGCCCATTAGGGTTTTCCTCCCAAACTGTGTTTTATGATATGTCTCAGGGAGCTTAAGTTAAGCTTTAGACCTGTGAGCGAGGTCCTGAAATATGTATACAGCCCCAATGGCCTGAAAGGAACCGAAGCAGTTGAAAAGACGGTTAAACTGCCTGCAAAAAGCAAAAGGTGATAAACATCTCTAATTTCTTCTCTCCCACAAGGTAAATGGGAAGGGTCTTCCAAGTCCGAAGCCTCCTTCATGAAATAGCTTTAGCTGCAAGTAGCACCTTCTGCAGCCCCTGTGCTAGAGCTTGCTCCCAGGAAGGGACCTTCGCCCTGTGACTCTTACCGCCAGTAGCAAGGATAGGGAAGGGGCTGCCCAGAGAACCTGCCACCTTACGGCAGCTACGGAGGCCTTTGTGCAAATTTCTTTTCTAAACAAACAAGAGAACTCCAAGGGGGACAATGAGGATGAGGATGATGACGACGAGAAGGACAAAGTTGCCAGGAAACTCCACATCCTTGATCAAACACCAGCGCCGCTTCCCGGAGCTTCCTTCCAATCACTCCGTTCCACAGACGGACAGGCAAGAGGAGTCTGCCCCTTTATTTGTCCATGGCAGGGTTGGCAAACTTCTTCTGCAAAGTCCAGATAGCAAATAGCTTAGGCTTTGTGGCCCACGCCATCTCTGTCACGACTACTCGAGTCTGCTGTCACGACTCGAAAGCAGTCGCAGGCGACACACGTGCGTCTCATGTGAACGGCTGTGCTCCTTGTTTATGGGTACCAGAATCTGAATTTCATATAATTTTCCTATGTCAGAAAATGTTATTCTTCTCTTGATCTTTTCCAACCATTGAAAAATAGTAGCAGTCATTCTTAGCTCCCTGGCCATACAGAAGAGGTGGCGAGCCAGTGCTGGCCTGTGGGCTGTCCTATGCCATCCCCTGGCTCAGGGGACAAACGTGTAAAGACCATGTCAGACGGGGGCCTTCCCTCGCCCGGCCTTAAAGCCAGACAGCCAAACTCAACCGTGTAGCAAAGCGTGTTCAGCGGCCCAAAAGCAACATTTTGGATTGAATCGTCACTGGCAAACTCAAGTTTTGGGGGAAAAGCTTGGAAAAGAACTCGAGCCCTTTGGCCAAGGCGCCCAGTCACAAGGTCTAACCACGAGACCACAATCTCACCAAAATAACTACCCCTCCTTTCCAAAATGGAAGTTTTAAAAATCCCTGAGCAACTCTGACTGGAAAAGGTTCATGTGTTCAAGAGTTCTCACCCACTTCCCGGGAAGGCACCGGGACGTGTCAGATGTCACCGGATCCCAGGCAGAACTTCCTCAGGTCCTGGGCGAAGAAGCGCTGCGGCTGTTTTGGAATCAAGTCTGTAGGTGCAGGTGCCACTCTCTTCAGAGCTTTCCAACTACACCTTTCACATGTAACAAAGCTGGGATGAAGCCACGTTGTGCCAACCCTGCCTGCCACCAAGAGACAGAAGAAGGACGCAGAGTCCAGGGTGGGAAAAGGGACACCGTGGGGCCTGGACAGACCATTCAATGGACACGAAACTGGTCTCTTCCAGAAAAGGTCCTGTAGAAAGCCTATCATTCAGCTCCATGGATTGTAGGAAAAAAAAAAAAAGATTGAAAAAAAGTAAATAAAAAAACAAAAAGAAATATAATTATTTTAATAGAAAACAAAAGAAAAGAAAGCCTATCAACCGGGGGCAACAAGCTCTCATTTTGTCAAAGGACAAAACAACAACAACAAAAACACAGCCTTTCCACCCAAGCATCTGTGACGAAGGGTGTTTTTTCATAGGAAAGTTCGTTTTATGAGAAACCAAATTAATTGGATACCATCGTCATGATGGATTTTCCCCACTGTTAAGTCTCCCTGATTCACCAGTGCCAGAACATTGTACATGTTGTGTCTCTGATAAAATGGAAGGTCCATGCTCTGCCTATACATTGAAAACTGAGGGTACAGCCAGCCATGGCCCATTGTGGTCAGTTATTGGTCTTCCTTCCCTTCAAGGTGACCACTCCCACCCTGCCCTGCAGCCTGGCCGTGGGCCCATTCATACTGACTCCCTACGAAAGTCCCTCGCAGAAGGGTGCACCGGGATTGTGATCTTCACATCATTAAACTTTATGAAAGAAAAGGCCACCAGAAGCCACTCATCATAAAGAGGAAAATACTCCATATTTTCACTTCATCATAAAGAGAAAAACTTACTAAGTAATAAAATAGGAAGCACAAGTATCCAAGCCAATAGCAGATACCTATTTCTTCAGGAGCTCATACAATGAGGCACATCTAATATACATACATATACATAATCTGTTAAAGAACAAGCTTGATTGTCTCTCTCTGAACCTACTTCATTTTTAAGAAATGGAAGATGAAAATTCAGCCCATTTTCTATAACCAAGTAACTTTACCTGGGCGTCAGGGGCTCCCAATGTACCCAGAATGGTTAAAACATAAGAAGCTATGATTAATTTAGTATCCTGCCCTACCCTCCTCTGAATCATGCAGACACCAAAGTTTTCCAAAAAATTAGTACTGATCAAATATACCTAATACTAAAACTGTGTGGAACTATTTCAGAAGTCCCTTCAGAACCCTAAGGGGCAGCATTACAAAGTCTGCTGGACCAATTTTTCTGCAGATGCAGAAGGTATAGGAGATTAGGCTGCTTTGTCCTAGGTTAAAACGTACTCCAGGAATTGCTTCTTCTGAAAAATCCTGAGAGCCTAAGATAAAGGCTCTAATTAAAGAGGCTATATTTGCCTATAAAGTGTGACTGCATAGAAAAATAATTCAGGAATGTGTAATTTCTGGTTGTTAGGGTTTAACATAAGTATGTACCATAGTTATCCAGGAAAAGAAAAGTAAAGGTCTCAGAAGGCCGAGTAGACTCTGGCCTTGGAGAAGGAATAAAGCCACAGAAAAATTCACTAAGACGTTAGGGTTGACTTTAAAAACAGAAAACAAACAAACAAACAAAAAACAGAACCAGCATAGTAGGAAATCAGAAATTTTTCCCTTACAATCACTACCCCATTTCTCACATGAAAGGAATATGGGGGGAGTAGAGTGGGGCACCGAGGCAAAACAATTTAACAGCCTTATCCTCTGTCTCTATGGGATGGCTATTTAAGGTTTTAAATGAAATCCTTACAGGTAACCTTTTTCACATAAACATTTTTAATCATAATAATCTAAAGGACCTTAATAATAGTATCATTTCCTATTTGGAGAGTATTTTAGTATTCAAAACTACATTCACAATAACCCTAAGAAATAAAAGCAGAAAGGTGGAACTAACATGTCAGCAAGGAAGAAACGAAGGCCCGTACAGCAAGACCCCATTTGCTTGAGGCCACAAGGGTGGCTGGCAGTCAAGAGCACAGGGCCCTAGACCAAAGTGTCTAGAGGAGACTGAGTGTGTTCCTATCTCATCCTGACTTACTTTGCAACTCCCCTTCACCTTTCCTGGTTTTCCTATCAACTGTCAGGCATTCCTGCCTGAACTCCAGTAGAGACCAGTGTCTCAAGGTACACAGCTAAGGGAACATCTCACAGTGTCCTGCAGGTAATAAGCAATCCTTCTCCTACAGCTATCATTCCCCCCCACCCCCAGTCCATGGACAAACGCTGAATTATTTTCCTCTAAGGAGATTTTTCTACCAGAGCTACTGAGGCCACTGGTAGGATGGGAAAACAAAGCAAAACAATCAAATAACTAACAAACAAAAACCCCAATAACCAAAACCTGGGATTCACCATTTCTTCACCCTGCCAAGCCTGCCACAGCCCTGCACCTGAGCTATCTTTGCATCTGCCAGGCTATGGTATGGCAGCTCACGGATATGCCATCTGGATAGAGCTTCACCAGGCCCAAATGGGTCCCTTAGACTGGGGGAGGGGAGGAGGCCCAGGCATTCCTTCCACCCTCCCCCAAAAGTCACTATTCAAATTATATCTTTGTGCTCCTCGGAAAAGCACAGTGGAGAGGAAGAGTCTGGAAACCTGTTTTCTAGGCCCAGCTCTGCCACTAACTGGGCACGTCACTTCACTTCTTCACTAGGCAACCTCTTCCCCGCTCTGGGCCTAAGTCTACGGTAGGAACTTGGGGGACATGATCTAAAAATCCTCTTCTACTCCAACACGCAGGTTCCTGCAGCATTTACTAGAAAGCATGTGCTCTGTGTCAGGTGCGGACTAGATATTCTAAGGCCTAGAAAAGTCATCTAAGATACAGTCAGTGGCACAATAAGGTAATCAGTGGGGCAGGAACTAACACAAAGAAGGTAGGTAGAAATCGTAAGAATGATTTAATTAATGATGATGACATTGTCCCATGCTACCCAAACCTCACTGGCTAGTTCAGAGGGACTTTCTCCTGATCTACTAAGTCAAAATACCTGGGAATGGCCCAGGGATCTGTATATTTTTTTTCCAACTCACCAGGCAATTCTGATGGGTCATTAGCATCAACTATCAGAGCTATAATGAGTAGGCAAGCGTATCTGCAGATTGCACCTTACTTCCTCAAAGGCTCTTTTAAACCTCTAAACTGATTGTCACTATATCCTTTTTAGAGGGTCAAAGCCAATAATCTCCAAATCCATCTTAAAACAGAAGAAAGTGAGGCGGAGAAAATTAAGTGACTTAGTCATAGGCGAGTACGAGGGATTCCGAAACAGAATGCAGGCAGGGCTGGGGGGTGCCCAGGCCGGAACTCCTCCACCTGCACTCTGCAGAGCCTTCCCGCTGACCATGCGTGAACTCCCAGGAGACTGAGTAGACGGGCAAGCGGCGCCCAGGCAGGAGAGCCATCCCCCTGGGAGGGTGAAGAAGGTACAACAGTGCAGCACCCATGGAAGGGGGGGCACTGGGAAGCCAGCCTGGGACACAGGCTCACAAGCAGCCCAGGACAAGCCGTCTCAATGTCTTCAGGCAGCTCCAAGACTGAGTCCCACTAAAAGGGCTTGTCAGCTCTGCCACAAGCACCCAAATCCCGAAGCCAGGGGTCAAAGGACATGAAGCCACTGGAAGAGTTCGAAAGGAGGAGCCCTTGTCTTCCCATCTTGCTCTAGCAGGTCCCCCAGTCTTGAGCCTCCACATGGAGCAAGGCAAGCTCCCTCCCTGTGCCCCCCCCCCAGTGGTGACTAACAAATAATGAATGCTTACAAGATGCTGGGGGAACCCCTTGCAGGCCAGAGGCCATCCATCTTTAGGCAGAAAAACGTTTACAATCTTTCATTTTAAAGTCAACCTTGTGGTCACCACGTTTTCTATTACTGCTCCTTATAAAAAGGCCAAGTACAGTCCAGTTAATTGGAAGGTTTCAGTTACGGCCTGTGTCTCTACAGCATGCTGAGGCCAACACAGGCAGCCGGAGACCAGCAAAATCGCTGGAAGGGAGCTGGGGACACGTGGGTTTCCCTGGGAGCTGAGTATGAAACATTTTGGGATAAGAAGGTACCAGGTCTCCACTGATGGCTGGATAAATAAAACATGGTGCATCCATAAGATGGAATATTATTCAGTAGTACAAAAGAAGGAAGTACTGACACACGCCACAACAACATGGATGACCCATGAAAACACTATGCTAACTTAAAGAAGACAAAAAGGTCACCTATTGTACGATACCTTTTATGTACAATATCCACAATAGGCAACTCCAGAGACAGACAGTAAATTAGAGATTGCCAGAAGCTGGGGGAAGGAGTCCACAATGACTGCTAGGGGTAGGTGGTTTCTTTTCAGAGTTGTGAAAATATTCTTGGAAATAGTGGTGATGTTTGCACAACCTTGGGAATATACTAAAAACCACTGATTGTACACTGAAAATGGGTACATTTTATGGTGTGTGAATTATACCTCAATTTAAAATGAATTAAAAAAAGAAGAAGTAGGTGCCATCTTTGATGGTGATCCCATTCAAGACTGCAGTCCCACCCGTCAGTGGCCTGTTAGGGACCAGGCCATACATCACCACCTGAGACACAGGCCCCCAACCCTGACCCCAAACTCCCATCCATGGAAAAACTGTCTTTCATGAAACTGAGGAACCAGGGCCACAAAGCAGGAGGTGAGTGGCAGGCAAGCACGTTCCCCATTCATTGCTCCCATCACCGCCTGAGCCCTGCCCTCTCCCTCCACCCTGGTCCATGGAAAAACTGTATTCCATGAAACCGGACCCTGGTGCCAAAAAGGTTGGGGATCACTAATTTAAGAGACAAAAGAGGATGGGAAAACACAGAGTCACATATCCATATACTCTACCACTAAAGTATGAACAACAAGCATGAGAATCTTTTCTGTTCAAAATCATGCCCTCCAAAGCTTCTTGGAAAACAAGCATTTCCAAATGTGATTTTGGCTGGTGCTGGATCTTGGGAAGGGACAGTAACAAAGGCATGGGAACTCCTAGACCTCATGAAAGATAAAAGAGAGCACAGCACACCTTGGATGAAAGGTGCTGATGGGGAAACATGGGAAAGAGGCTGAAGTGCAAGGTAAGTGTCTCAAGGTGGAAGGCCAGAATCAAATAGCAGAACAGGTACATCAACAAAACCACAGGCAATTCAGAAGCCCCAGTCCCACACCACTCTACTACCCCATGTCCTCAGCAAGACAAGATTGTTCTGCACCTCAGTTTCCCCACCTAAAAACTGGGCATGAAATTCCACACCATTCATTCAACCTCAACCACATGAACAAAGTAAAGGGAAGGAATTATATAAGGTCTAAGGTAGTTAAGATGTGCTGTTTCTTCCTCTGACTACACAGGGGATTTTAAAAGCCAGTAATTTTAGGTCTACCATGGAAATCAGAGATGAAGCCAACAGATGACCTTTGAGAGGTACAAAGCCAGCCAGTAACAGGGTCCAGGTGACCCTGTGAAATGCATGAATCATCAGATTGCAGCAAATATTAAAATCAAGAATTTTAAAAATTCCTTTCTTTCTCCCTGGCTGGGAGCTCTCAAGGTTCAGATTCTTCTAATTAGGTTCTCCTCCCCATTCTGTATTTCTTCCCCCCATTCCCCAGCAAAAATAGACGACGCAAGCCTTGGCAGCCAAAGAGCAATGCATTAACTTGCTTCAGTCTGTCTACACTGGAACCAAACGCACGACAGGCTAGGCTCACGTCCTCCCACTCCCAGTGAAAAACCGAGACCCATGCTGCATTTTTTCCCCTCTTGTCACATTTGAAAGAAGTCGGTGGCTCCAGCAAGGTCTCCCTGTCCAAATTTTTATTGTCAAATTCTAGCTGTGACAAGCATGTGGCCATGCTTCGTAACGCTACACCCAGGAAGCCGAAAGGTCAACGGCGCGTCTGGTTAATTTTGCCTGGGGAGGAACAAGCCCCGAAGCCAGGGTGAAGATTTACGTGAAGCTGACCCACGACCCCCCTGCACACAGTCTTGCTGCCTCAGCCAGAAGCGGCCTGCCACTCAAGTATCATCTTGCTGTAACAAATTACTCCTAACCCAGGATTATGGCTCTTTCCAAATCCCTCCTAGAGAGCAAGGAAATAAACATTCTCTCCCAGGACTCTGCCCCAGTCGTTCCCCCTGTGGGTAATCCTCGTCTCTATTTGCTTCTCCTGCAAGCCCTCGTCTGGGAGGTCTGCTAGACCATCCCGGCCCACTTTCCTTTCAGACACAAGCTGAATGTCTCAATTGTCCGTCAGGCGCAGTACAAGATGAAGGCAGGCTTTCTGTCTGGAGAAGCCTCACACAATAGTTCCCTTTGCCCACACACTTTTCATCCGACTGCAGACTCGCTCACGGAAGTCCACACCCCAAATTCCTTCCTCACGTTCCAGAGGGACGAGTGAGGACGGCTGCGCAGGCCCCGGAGCATTGCAGGGAAGCAGGGCTGCCCCACACACACACTGGGGCCGGCCTAACATTTGGGAGCGGGTTTAATGGGGTGGGAGTGGGGTATGGAGCCCGCAGCCTTGGGCCCACGTGTGGCCTTCTGGATCCTTGAGTGTGGACTTTCGAGTGAATCCAACGTTTATAGAACAAGTCCTTTTAATAAAGGGATCTGTTCTGTGAAGTCCAGATTCGGTGGAGGGGCCGCATTTGGGGATCTGGACGGCCACGTGTGGCCTGGGGGCCGCAGGCTCCCCACGACAGCAGGGCTGCAGGCAGCAGGAGCTGCCTCTCTCACCCCAGCCTGCGGTTTCCTTTAATAAACTGCAAGGAGATATTTCGAGCACAATAACCTCATTTGGGGAAGGAAATACAGTTCTGTCCACTTCCAAAGTCTCCTCTGAAACCCTGGGATATTCCGGGCACTTCGGACATAGAGGGCTGCTTTGTTTTTTCTAATTGTATACATAGACTGCCTAGTATACGCCAAGAAGCAAAGAGCAGAACAATGGATATTATAACCAAAGTGGGTGATTTGAGCAGATAAGGATCTCGGGGGCTGTTTTAAGCGAGACTTTCTCCCTGGAGAGAGAGAATGGTTGACAGCACACTCTCTGACACATGACAGACAAGGACAGAAGCTCGGAAAGAACCAAAAGACACTGATGAAACATAAACACCAAACCAGACACCAAATCTAATTCCTGCTTCTGGAAAAAAAAAAAAAAAAGGCATAACCAGTTGAAGAAATAGAATGAGTCGACACAACCAACTCATTCCAGAGCGAGCACGGCCCGCGTTTTCTCGTTTGCAGGCCCGAGCTGACCACCCGCCCGCCCTTCTCCTGCCGGGCCACCGTGCCTTCTAAACCAACTTTGTTCTCTGCTTTTGTGGTTTAGTCTTTAAAAGAACTTGGCTTGGGAAGGAGCAGTAAGGATCTGAAGCTAACCACTTAGCTCATTAGTATGTCATCGGGACAAGCAAAATCAATTCCAACAGCATCAAGTTTGGGTATTCCCTCCCCGAAAGGTCTGCACTATTAATAGCAAGAAAGTTTCCCAGGCTTCAGTTTATTTGTAATCCCAACCAGCCCTGACCACAGAACCTGGCCATCTCCACTTCTAGAGCTTCCCAGGGATTTAGAACGAATTTCAGGTCTCAGTTTTTCAACGGCAGCAGAAAGATGTGGAAAGATGGCTGGACTTGACGGAGAAAGGACAGTGCAGGCCAAAGAGGACTTGACGGAGAAAGGACAGTGCAGGCCAAAGAGGCCTTGACCCCCAGAAAGGGCTGGGCAGCTAAGGGTGAGAACTAAGTGGTGTCTCTGTACACCCCTGTGACCAGCTCTGGGCTCTCTCTTCCAGCCTGAGCTAACCCCACAGAGGTCACCCCCTGCTCTCCCCATTGTAGAGTCAGCTGGCAGAAGGTTCTAGAAGAAGAAGGTTTGGGCTCAACATGGTGGCTGACCCCTATAATCCCAATGCTTTGGAGGCCCAGGTGGGAGGATGGCTTGAGGCCAAGAGTTCAAGGCTGCAGTGAGCTGTGATCATGCAACTGCACTCCAGCCTGGGTGACAGAGCAAGAACCTGTCTCTAGAAAAAAAAAGCAGCAGCAACAGGTTGGCTAAAAATAAACTTAAAATATCACTAATTCTGGCCCAGACAGTACAGAGGACTGGTTAAGAGCACAGGCTCGGGAGCGAGAATGCCTGGGTCTAAACCCAGGACCTGTGGCTTGGAACTTCCAGGGCCTTGGACAAAGCCTTCGCCTCTCCATGCCTCCATATCTGTGCTTGCACCACGAGGATAGTAACATGGGGCTAGCACAATACAGGCTGAGCATTCCCAACCCCAAAGTCCAAAATGCTTCAACATCAAAAGCTTTCTGAAGCCGACAGGACATCAGAAGTGCAACATTCCACACCTGACCTCACGTGACAGCTCACAGTCAAAACTTCGTCTGCTGTACAGAATTATTTTAAATATAACGTATAAAATTTCCTTCAGGCTATGTGTATGAGGTGTATATGAAACACAAATGAATTTCCTGTTTAGACTCAGATCCCATCCATCCCAATATAGCACATTATGTATACGTACACATTCCAAAATCAAAATGAAAAACATGAAACATTTTGGGTGCCAAGCATTTTGGATAAGGGACTCAACCTGTCCTTTCTCATCGGATGAGTCAGTGAAGAGCAGGCTACCTGCTACACACTAGGCCCCGTGATGTATGAGACAGAAGCTTACAGAGGGTGTGTTCGTGAGCACACAATCTCATTGCAGGGAGTAAAAGGGGAGAAAGGAGAGGCAAGTGATTTGTGTGACTACATGCAGTAAGTTACATAACGCAGTAAGTGGTTTGTGTCGCCAATACAGTCAGCCAGCAGAGAGGCTGCCTGGGCAGGGACTTGATTCACGGACCAGGTGATGATGATCCACCACTACTGCCCACGTGTATGTGGCTGAGTAAGAAAGTTGTTCATTCAGGTATTTTAAATATATCCCTCTTCTCTGTGTGTACCCTGAAAAGGGGTACAATTTTAAATTCATCCTTGAGAATTCAACTCCAGCCGTCTAACTTTTCTCAAATGCCAAAATGAGGGGAAGCCAATTTAATGAGGTCTCGCTGCTGGGGAAAATGGCACAGCAAGTCCCTGCCCAGGTGCAGGTGAGTATACAGTCACCCCACCAAAAGGTCTTCCAGAGGTCAGCCCACCTCGCTCTGCAGTCACGGGGGCACAGGGCAAACTGCACATGCCACCAATGGAGAGGGACACAGAACACTCACCCAGCACGTCCTCTTGAATGACAGTTCACGCTATGCCTTTAATGCGTATGTGCCGGGGAAAAATACCCCAGGAGCCCTATTCTTGACCCCCCCAAATGTCTCCTGCTCCTTTTCCTTTGGACTACTGAGCCCCCTCGGTCTTAACTATGAGAACTCAAAGCCAGCTCAGACCTGGGTTCAAACCCAAGCTCCTGAATTCCATTCATTCACAGAAATATTCACTGAGTGCCTAATATGAGCCAAGTGCTGACATCCAAAAGAGCTGGACCATCTCAACGGTGGGTGAGCCGGGGTGAACAACCTCACCTCTCTGAGCACTGGTTTCTTCGTGTATAAAATGGGAATACAAACAGCCATCCCTCGGAGTTCTTGTACGGATCAAATGCTTGGCACTGTGCCTGGCGTATGGTAAGTGCTTAGTAAATGCTAGCTATTATATTATTAGCTATCACATTGCTATTAATATAATCTGTATCACCAGGGCAAAACCCCTTGAGATATTGCGAAATTTTAAATCATCCAAAAAGTAAATCCCCAGATACGTGTATTAACCAATGCTTACAGGGAAATGAACACTTGAGACTAAGGAAAGCAAAGTGACCCCAAACATTCCTAGTTAACCAGCCTCGCCCCTCCAGACGGCGCTCCCGCCCCCACACCCTCTTCACTCCTTTCCCCAGCTTTCTGGTTAAGTGGAATTTTCTGTCCCTGTTTGGGCTCCCTCCCAGGTATGCGGAAGCTCAGCGGCAGACCTAGTGCTCTAAGTCACTATACCTCTCCCTCCAACTGGCTCTCAAACTTAAAGAGATTTTTTTTCAATGCTTGCAAGCCCAGGAGAGTCCTGTTCTTGCCCTCGCGCTCTGCACACGCAGACACTCACGCAGGCACGTGGAGGCGCGAGCCGCCCACGGCACAGGGATGGTGGCGCCCTGGGTTAAACCCAGCTGCTGCTCAAAGAAGCCACATCATCCCAGAGAAGTTCTGCAACGTGCACAAAATACAAATGAGAAAGAAAAAATCTCAAAGAAAACCTGCCATTTTTCTCCCAGGCCATCTCTTGATTGTTTTTCCCCCTCCTCTATCTTTCTTCAGAGCCATCAGTAAGATTTAAAACCTGGCCTGTTGCGAAGATTGCCTAAAGAAGGGGCAGAAAGTTGGGAAAGGGCAATTCGAAGAACTCCCTGGTGCCCTGGCTCTGCCGCTGTAAGGCACACAGGCAAGGGTCAGCCGTGTGGCGCCCCGTGGCGGGGCCACTGCCAGCCTCCGCTGAGTCCAAAGAGCAGCGTGGACTTCCTCCTCCTGGAGGAAGCACTGGCCGTGTTCTCTGGGAACGGGGACAGCAAAAGTCCAGGCTGTACACAGGCCAAGTGAGACATGGAAATGCCCAGAACAAACACGTGGAGAGCCCGGTTTTAAGTGTGGCTTAAAGAGTGGGAAGTCAGACCCATTCTGGTGTTTGAATCCCAGACCACCAACTACTTCCTGAGAGACCTTGGGCAGGTTACTTAACCTCTCTGAACCTCAGTTTCCTCTTCTATAAAGTGAGAGGAAGGGAACAGCTCCTTTGATCAGAGTTGTTGCCAAATTATTGTAGGTAGTGGCTTGGAGCATATGGTAAGTGCTCAAAAAAAAAAAAGTCAGCACTTATCACCGCTGTGCTTATTATGAAATTGATACTTGCTACATTTAGTGATTGGAGCAATAATGCCAGGAAACGCTTTTTGTTGTTGTTATCCAACAATGCAGTATGTCATCAGAAATTTATTTTCTAGGAGCTGGACATAAAAAGGGAAGCTGTGTGGTAATATTTGTGACCTTACTATAGGGAACCCACTGTAATATATTTTACCCATTTTTCAGATGAGTTTTCAGGAAACCTAGAAATCTGGGAGAGAGCCCAGGCAACCAGTCCAAGGTCACAGGATTTGAAGTGAAGGTTCTGAGGGCAGGAAACACACTTGTTTCGCTGTGCCCCTGTGCCAAGCATGAATGGTCTCTTTAAGCCTCATTTAACATTCGACAAATATTTATCGATGCCGGCACTTTGCCCGGCGTTATGCTGGGTACTAGACACAGAAGAGAGAGATCGCAGGGCCGAAGAGTCAGGTGACCTGGGTGACAAATCCCAACTTCCACCCAACTTGGCTGTGAGACATTGGGCAGAGCTGGTCTCCCCAGCCCTCAGTTGTTGTAAAATCATGTCCCCTCGCCCCACCCCCTGCTAGGGAAGATGCAAAGAGCCCATTAACAATACCTAGCTAGCCAGAAGCTCTGGCTGAGCCTCGGAATTCATTCAACGTCGGTTCCCTTCCCTCTGTCCCCTACGCACCCCATCCACCTCCTAAAACAAGCCGTGGTTAATACATCCATAAAACAAGGGTAACAGTAATATCCCTTCAGAGGGCTGTGGTGAGAACTGAATGAGGCTGAGTATTTGAAAAGTACTTGGACTGCAAAGGATTATAAAAACACGCATTATTATTATTCCAGGAACACACTCTGCCTCTTGCACCCAGCTGCCACTTTGCCACTGGGAACTTGCTCTGTGCACCTTGTCAGCAAAGCACCCTCCAGCAGGTAGACCCCACCTGGTCCTCCAGCCCTGGAGGGGGGCGGGAGGGAAGAGTGGGGTTCAAGAGGAGGGTGCTTGCAGCTGCAGGCGGGAAGGAGGACACAGGCCAAGGGCAGAATCCACACACACGAGGTGAGGGGACAGAAGGTGGCTCTCAGGTCCCGAGATGGAACCCACGACCACCCTCCTCCCCGCATCTGTCTCCCCATCCCCATGTCAATCAAAGCAGCATTCCCGGACCCCTCCAGCAGGCCTGGCACATTCTGGGTGACAAGGACCCTAAGGTGAGTAGTAAGGCAACATCGCTGCCCTCACTGACCTCATTATCTTCAGGCCCAGAAGATGGATTAATTAAAACAACACAACACAAACACCAACTTTTAAAAAGCTCACCCTCGGGCCACAGAACTTCCAAGTATTTTAAGAGGAAGCCACCCACTCACCACCCATTATTCCTGCTTTTAAAGAAGGGCAAAGGTGACATTTCAGCAGGCCACCAGCTCAAAGGTTGCAACAAAGAAACCACAAGGGGGGGTTCTGGGTTGTCAAGTCTTTAACATAAAGTAAACCTGCCTCCCTCGATATTGGCACAGTTAAGACTGTCAGACAAACGGTGGTTTACTTTTCCTTAAGGTGCAGGTGTCAAGCCTGGCTGAAATCCACATGAAAAATGTCAGCTGCCCACATGACCTGCATGCACACCTGAAAAATCAATGTATCCAAAACTCTCGTCTAATTAGCACTTTAAAAGAGAAAAAGAAAAATCAACCACCTTTAACTATGCTTTTCTCTGGGTGGCGGGATTATAGGCAATTCTTTTCTTTATACTTTCTAAAATTTTATTTTAATTCAAAAGTTACATTTTAAAAATATACTTTTCAGCAAACTATCAGATAGCCATAACTGACACAGGACGTAACAGGTGAAAGGTACTGCCAATTGGAGACATCTGAATTTGGCTGCAGAAACCTGACAGACCTGGTAGTCTGGGACCTTGGCACCCTTTATTTCTCACCCCTGCACCCGTGTCCCCAAAAGAACTCACAGGCCTGCAAAACCACGAGTGAGCCTTTCTAGCAAGGACACGTATCCCAACCAGAGACCTAGTTTTGCATCATGGCATTTATTCCTGTGTCGCGATCAGGCAAGCAGGACCAGCTGCTAACCCCTGCCGGACCCCAGACCCAGACCCCCAGGAA